GACTTCTTCCGAGGCCCCGGACGTGTCGGCCCGATATCCTTTTTCCGCAACCGACAGTATCGGGCGATCCGGTGCCTCGATGTGTGCTGCACTCATGCCGGCGCACAAGCGGAATGACTGAGGGTCTACACCGTGCGCGTGCAGCCTCTGCTGCGCCGCTTGATCTGAATTCTGTATGGCTCGCAGGACATCCTCAAGTTTCACATGTGCAGAGACCTGAGAGGTCTCGCTGGATGGATTTTGCTTCGAAACACCAAGGCTACTGCAGGCCCGGCCCAACCGGCCCAATACCCAGGCTCCCGAGACTACTGCAGGCCGGGCCCTGTAGTCAGGCTCCCGGCACAGCGTAGACCAAAGTCTTGGGACTCGCCTTTCCCGAATGGATTGCGACCTGCACATCCGAGTCAGAGTGCAGGCTCCTACCAACCTCTACCAATCCGTCTGCCAATAAGAATCAGCCAGCGGCGCTTTCGACTTCGAAGTGCAAGCCGCCCTTCTATGATCCCCGAGCTGAAAGAGGAGCGAAAGCTAGCGACTGCACAGATTCCATTCCAAGCTACGGGGACAGCAAACACCTTGAGCAGTGGTGGAGGCTCTACCCGAGATGCGGCAGTTGCATGTCAGCCTTGTTGAAAACGTCGGAAATATCCACGGCATCCTCGCACAGAAACGCAGCTCGGGAATCGTGCGACAAGGCTGCACCTGTCGTGGAGGACCCTCTGTGAAGCACAGAGCTCCTGAATCTTCTGGCAAATCGCGCCCTGGATCTCCAGATCATTCTGCGATGCCAGATCCTCTGGCGGCTTTTTGCGGACGGCGCAGCGACGTTTGAGAATGACAAATGACACCTCTACAGCCTCTACACACAACGAAATCCAAGAGCATACAAAACTTAAGTTTCCCTGTGCCCATCCCGCGTTATCCGGATCATCGCCCTGGGTGGTCCTCCGGCCCATGGCCATTCTGGGAGCCTGCAGCTGGAGCAAGGACTCTTGCTCCGAGCAGATCTCCCGGATAGACTCTCCGTGCCTGGAGTTCCTGCCTGCTGCGTGGGAGCCCAATCATAAAAAGAAATCATCCGCCGCAGCCATGTGCCCTGCTTTACACGCAAGAATACTATCTGACACTTGTTGACCCACCATGACCAACATGCCTTTTCGACTGCACCACTGCACCTGCTCCCACCACAGGCACTGCTGGAATGTGTAGCTTATGCTGCGATGTATTCCTGCCATGTACTTGCTTTGACATTGAGCAACAAGCGCGCGAGGTTGCCATGAAAATCGGTTTAAACGGTAGAAGAGGATCCTTCTGACAGCAAGGCACTGGCATACACGCACGATGCCCCATCACATGTTCCTTGTCTGTGGTTCATCGTAGATCTGCAGCAACGGCAGAATGTTGCATGTAAGCCTGTAGTCACTGTAGTCTCTCCGTCGCTCCCTACATACTGTACGCTTATTTCAAGGACAGGACCACTGGAAATCTCAGCAGCCTGCTCGGTCTAAGCACCTGCGCAAGGCCTGCGATTCCAGCTTCAGAACCTCGGATCTCAAGCTAGGCGGTGCTCTTTCCATGCTCGAACCACGTGGAAAGGCGGATCACCATGAGTCACAGGTGCCCTGGACTACCTGTTCCGGCCTCGTGCTCCTTGCGCAGGGCTTGCAGTTGCCTGGCCAGGATTGGACACGGCAAGGCGAGATGCACATGTCGGCAGCATGAACAGATCTCAATTGCACCATTCATGTAGCCCATAAATACAACGAGAAACAGAAGCCATGTGCCATGCTGGCGAGACCCTTCCAATGCGCAGCAGCTGGTCACCAATTGCGCCTGGAGTAGTTTTTACATACCGTTTGATCTGCAAGCAGGTGGCGGTGTACCTCCGAGTTGTTTACATGATAAGGTGCCAGCCCACATGCTTTCCTGGTCTTTTGCAATGGTCAGCCTCACTCTGGAATGTGAAGGTGGAGGTTACCGCAGCAATTCTACATCGTGCCCGCGACGGAAATCATCTCTGGGTTTCTGGCAATCGAACGATGGGCTTATCTCCAACGTGAGCTGCTGGGCTGACTGAACCTGACACATATCAGCTGATTAGCACTCTTTTGACGAGGCCTCCTTAGCAGGCCGTAGCAGCACTCACAGCACAATCAAGCTGCAGGAGCGCACGCAGACGACTTTGTCGAGTATGCGCATCCTTCCAAGAGTCCCTCCAGATTTCTGGGCCTGGGCCAGCAGGTCCCAGGTTCCCCTGTGTTATCGAACGAAGTCACAAAGAGGAGGCGCCCCACAGATCTAACATGCTCCACTACACAGCTTTGCTCGACGTCGCTGTTTCGCACAACAGCTTTTATCTTCTCTTTGTCCAGGCCAGATGGAGACGGAACTTCGCGGCCACCCCCTCGTCGGCAGATGCCGTGCTTGACGTAAGACTGATGTCGCAAGATCCGTGTTCGTCCATCCAGCACTGCAGCAGTGAGGAAAGAGTTTAAGTTTAAGTAAACAGCCCAAATCAACACTTCAAGCGCGTGTCTCCAAGAGAAGCGCTCCGGACCTCGCGAGATCAAGCAAAGACGTCCACATCCCGCACAACCCATTGCTTTGCAATGTCTGCACGGGCTACAGCTGCTTTCAGGGGTGATGAACGAAGCTTTGTATGGCCATAAACAGAAATTGAAACTGCCGTGCTCATCATGTCGACAGAAAGTTCCAGCTGTCCCCGAAGTTACCTACCGATGCTACATGAGCTAAGAGGCTTTCTGGGACTGCCTTCTACAGCCAATGCAAGAAAAAAACCTTTTGATGCTTCGTAAAAGCCTCGGCTTCTGGCGACAGATGGGCTGGAAAAAGTAAACGAAGGATGTGCTGAATCGAAGGATCTCTCGTGTCTCCATTTCTGTACTTTGCATGTGCACCATGCTGGGCTTTCCTGGCTCTTCAGACAACTGGAAGTCTTACTGTGGCGGTCTGGTGCAAAATGAAGACACGCACAGGATGTTGAAACCGGGCCAACTTGAAACCACACCTCACAAACAGAGCGTATGCGCGTGGTGCGCCGCTTTGCTTTGCCGTGTCGCCTGCTCCTCAGAAGAGCGTGAGAGCCGCCACCAGGAAGGATGCAAGGATCCTGAAGGACATCGCGGCACTCGGGTCCTCCACCGGCGGCAGGCCCTGCGTGGTGGTTGTGCTCGCGGAGCTCGTTGTGTTGTCCTCCATCGTTGTGCTTGTCGTGGTCGTAGTTGTTGTCGTGGTCGTCGTGGTAGTGGTCGTGGTCGTGGTCGTGGTCGTGGTCGTGGTCGTTGTGGTCGTGGTCGTGGTCGTTGTGGTCGTGGTCGTTGTCGTGGTAGTTGTCGTGGTCGTAGTGGTCGTGGTCGTGATGCCCAATTTCGCCTGCTTCTTGGCCTCAACTGTGGCCGCTCGTGTCGTGACGGCCTTCTTCGTGGTGGCCACGCCGACACCCGCATTGGCATCCACTGTGCCCACGGAGCTGAGGGCTTTTGTCAGGCCAGCGCTGCCGCTCTTTGCCTGAGTCTTCAGAAGTTCTGCCACACTTGCCGGTGCAACCGTTGTGGCTCCTTTGTTGGTGATCTCGAACGAGACCACAGCTCCACTTCCGCTTTGGAGACGGCGGTTCTTTGACAGTCGCCGGACGGTGCCCTGCTTCAATGTCATGCTCGTCTGAATCCCTTCAGGCACCTGCAGCTCGCCGGTGATCGCCACCCGGGCATCTTCCACCGAGCCCGCGCCACCTGCAGCCGTCCCACCCAGTGTCAGGAACACGGTCGAGGTTTGCTTCTCGGTGCTCGAGACCGCGGTGGCATTGCTGCCGGCAGACCCGTAGAGATCCTTGCACTGCTGTGAGGAGTGGACATGAGCCCCGGAAGGACATTTCTTCATGTTCTGGCCGGGCTGGCAATTGCCCTTCGCCACGCAACTGATGGATTCCGAGATGAAGGCCCCGGCGCTCGACATGTGCGTCTGGATGCAGGTCTGATTGCCTGACTCCTCCTCTTGAGGAGTGCAGGGTGTGGGGCAGCTGTTCAGCAGAACACCACTGAACTTCGGGATGCAGTAGTCCGTGGTAGCATCGTTTGGATCAGCGCAGGTGAGCGTGTTCTTGCCACAAGGGCACTTCACACCCTGGCTGACGCACTGCGTGGTGGTGTTGCCAGACCCACCTGTGCTGGTGTAGTCCTTGACGTCGCACTGCCTTTCGCCCTCTGCGCATGGGCAAACCAAGTTGGCCTTGGACGCGAGGAGGCAGGCGTCCGTGCCAGGGCATCTTTGGGTGTTCTTGCCGCACGGGCAGTCGGCGTTCGCATCCACGCAGACCTCACGATCGCTGATGAAGTCCTCGTTACTGGTGTAGTCGGTGAGATAGCACTTCTTCTGGCTGTCGGTGCAAACAACGGGGCAATCCTCGTCCTTGAAGATGCAACGGAGGAAGGAGTTCGGGCAGCTCTTGGCCTCCTTGCCGCAGGGGCAGCTGGCGATGTCGGCAGCGCACTGCACGGTGGGATTGCTAAATCCTAGGAAGGCGCCGTCCGGTCGATAGTCTTCCACACTGGGGCAAGCGACCTGGTTGGCGGTGCACGTGGCTGGGCAGAATGCTCCAATTGGCAGGCAATCTGTGTAGGTGTATCCAAACTCGGTCACCGTACAGGCGAAGGAGTTCTGCCCGCTGCAGGGGCAGGGTTGCCCCAGAGGAACGCAAGACTTCTCCGAGCTCAGCCATTCGCCATTGGAATCGAAACTTGGGCTGAAGCAAGTCTCCTGCGTAAGGAAGTTGCAGAACACGGGGCAGCGCACGGTACCGTTGGTTTCGTAGTCCACCAGTGGGTAGCAGTGCACATCTCCGAATTGGTCCTTGCATGGCTGGGCGTTGCTGCCGCAGGGGCATTCTCCGGCAGCCGGAGCACAAACCTCCCGGGTCTCTGCGGGCCAACCGAAGACATCGTAGTCCGTGAGAAAGCAGATCTGCTGAGAGGTGGTGCAAGTCACAGGGCAGTTGTCTGCTGTCGGGAAGCACTCTTCGTTCTCCAGCCCGAAGTCGTCCGTCCACCGGCACATCTTTGCATTCGCGCCACAGGGGCACGACCTGGTGATGTTCTGGCAGCTCTCAGTCGCTGGAGCGTCCCAGTCAAATTCGCCCTCCGGTGTGAATGAGATGGGAAAGCACGTCTTCTCGGTGAGCTCGTTGCAGATGAGCGGGCAGCCGTAGAAGGTTGGGCTGCACCAGGAGTCGTCAGGGTTGTTTGGGTCAGTGCACCGGACAGATTCTGCTCCACATGGGCATTGCTCACCCCATGCAGCGCAGGACTCCGTGGTGCCCAACCAATCACCGTTCGCCGCAAAGTTGTCGGTCCAGCAGTACTGCTCCTCGCAAATCAAAGGGCAAGTCTCTCCGAGAGATACGCAGTACTCGTCGAACCCGGAGCCGCACTTCTGTGCGCTGTCGGCTTTGCAGATCACCGGGCAATGCCAGTCGTTGGCCTCGCCGTCCTCGCAGTAATCCTCCCAGAGCATCAATCCGTTAGTGTCGAAAGAGACGATGGAGCAATAAATCTGGTCGTGTCTGCATTCGAGCGGGCAACCGTTGGGATAATAGGATGCTGGGAAGCACTCCGTCAGGTTTGTGTCCACGTTGGTGCAGCTGATCTCGTTGGACTCGCAAACACAGCCGGTATCGGTGGCACAGGACTCATTTCCGGACAACCAGTGCCAGCAGGTCCCGAAGTCGCCGCAATCCACCGGGCATGCATGGCTGATGGATTCGCAGAAGTTCACACCGGCGTAGGTGCACTTCTGCTCCCAGACAGGATCACAAGGGCAACCGTCGACCGCGTCGGCGCAACTCTCCGTCCAGCCTTCGTCGTCGATGGTGCCGTCGGCCTTGTATGGCGTCACCCAGCACGTGATCTGATCCGAAGTGCAGTACACTGGGCATCCGCCCCATACCTTCGCTTCGCAGTAGGAGTCAAACTCATTTTCGCAGCGATCTTCGAAGGTGGGGTGACAAGGGCACGGCTGATCCGCCGGCACGCATGTCTGGTTGTGCGGCAGCTCCCAATCCGGGAATCCGTCGGCTCCATAGGGCGTGAAGAAACACTCCTTCTCATCGTCGGCGCAGTAGAGAGGACAGGTCTCGTGGCCCGGCACGCACCAGCTGAAACCCCAGGGGTCGCTGCACTTCTTCTCCCACTGTGGATCACAGGGGCAACCAGTGTCTGCAGCAGCGCAGAACTGTCTCTCCGGAGCCGAATGGTTGACTTCGCCGGACTCAGTGTAGACCATGCCGGAGCAGAGCGTCTCGTTGCCTGTGCAGGACACCGGGCAGCTTCCCCACATTGGGTCCCAGCAGTATGCGCCAGTCGCGTCCTGGCACTTGACCTCACTCTCAGCGCATTCGACATCGAAGGGGTCAAAGCATCCGATCGATTTCGCTTCGCAGTACGTATAGCCGAAGCTCTCGCACTCCTCCTCCCATTGGGTATTGCAAGGGCAGCTTTCGTCCCACGCGACGCAGACGGGATCTTGCTTGTCAGTGAGATCCCAGTCGATCTCACCATCTGGAGAATACTGATGCACGTAGCACAACTGCTCGTCAAAGCCGCACTCCACTCCTTTGCCGTCACCGTCATGGCCACCGTAGCCGCCGTAGCCACCATAGAAGCCATCGTGGTCAGCGCAGGTGACAATGTCGACGCCGAACGTTTCGCACATAGTGGTCGCCATCTCCTCCAGCTCTTTCACCTCAGGCTGCGCTTCCACGATGGTTTCGATGTAACCGCAGCAAGGATAGGACAGCTGGCACTGCCAGTAGGACTTGTAGTCCTCACAGAACTCCGTGATCTGGTTCGGGTCCGTAGGAGGAGCGTCCCATGAGCTAAGGCCCGCCGAGCATTCCGCGAGGGCAAACACATCGCACTCGCCGCCAGAGCCGGAATCGCCACCCTCGCAATCCACAATAGGCTCCCCGAGCCCGCTGCACGCCGCCGCAATCAGCTCGGACTCGTTTGTAGGCTGCGCAGACGAAACGAGGTCACAGCAGCCAGCACCTCCCAGACACTGGTAATAGAGGTTCGTGGCCTGGCAGAGCTCAGGAGTTGTTCCAGCGTCAGGGCCGAATCCAATGAGAGACAGCGCGCAGAGAGCGGCTTGCTCGAGGTTGCAGTCACCAAGATCAGGAGGACCATTGCCGTATCCGCCACCCTTGCCGTACCCGTCATCAGAGTCCTCCTCCATTGCACACCAGAGAGGGGGAAGGGTCTCACCCACATCTTGGCAGACTTCCCAGGCGTCGATGACGAAAAAAGTCTCAGGGATTGCATGAGGAAACACACTCGTACAGCAGCCGGAGTGGCCAAGACACCACGAGCCATTCTGCGTCACGGAACAATAGTGCATTTTCTCATCCTTCGTGAGGTTGTCTTTGTGGGTGTAGCCGGAATATTGGGCGCCGAGTTGGGTCATGCTCGCATTACAAGGTTCCCACTCCTGGTAGTCGCACCCCTTTTCGCAGAGGAGCCGGACACTAGGGGAATCGTAGTAGCCGCCTGAACCCGAGTTGAAATACCACATCGAGCCATACACATAGCAGCCTGCCGGCCACTGATCATTGGGGGTCTCCTCAAACACCCTTTGACCAATCGCTTGTGCGGCAGCCTGGCAATGCACCAAGTCGTAGACACGCATGTGATTCGCCGGGCATTCCATCGGTTCACTGCTGAAGTTAAGGCCCGGAGGCAGGAAAACCTCGTCGTCGTAGCCGTCATACTGGGTAGATGTTGTCGTGGTGCTCGCAAACGAGCAATACTCGACATAGGACGGGTCCACGAGGGGGCACATTACGAGACCTCCCGACATGTAGTACTGGTAGAGGTCTGCGCTCACATTGAGAAGGAAGGGCTCCCACTCGAAGCAGCAGTCTACCTTGTACATACACATTTCGATCTCCATCCCGGCGCTGCAAGTAGCCAAGGTGTCGTTCATGGTCCAGTTCTTCCACATCAAGGATTCTAGCAACAATGCGCCAGCCTCAATCTCCTTCGAGCATTCGAAGAACTTCTCATGGCTGCAGACCATGTCAGGGCCATAGCCGCTGGAGCCGCCAGTTCCATAGCCACCAGAGTCCGCCTTGCAGACAGAAAAATGGAAAGCGCCGTCCATAAGCCCGTTGCCGATCTCTAAATCCATCTTGTTGTACCTGACGGCCGTGGCCCCGTCAATGTTGGTGTACTGAAAGCAGCCTTCTGCGGATTCTCGAGAATAGTCCTCATAAAACCCGAAGCCGTTGGCGTAGGCATACTCTTTGCACGCGTCCCAGCCAACGGATTCCGTGCCGCTTGAGCAGCCAGGAACAGGATCGAAGGTGTAGGGCCAAGAGGTTTGCCACGGGTTTGGGTCGAAGGATACTGGCTCCTCACATTCGGGCAAACTGAAGCCCATCGTCTTGCATACCTCAATATCGAATTCCAGGAGCCTTGCCGGGACGCGGTACTCCAGTTCGTGGCAGCAGGAGAATTGATCGAAGCAGTACATCAGCTCCATTGCTGCTCCGCAGTTCGACTGAATGTCTTTGGTGCTGTTGCTGTCGAGGACGATGGTGGCGTTCGCATATTCGATACTCGCGTTGCAGGAGCCGAGCTCGTCGAATCTGCAAGAGGTCACCTCTTTGCAGGCAGTGCTCGACCAGTTATTGCCCATGCCCTCCAACTTGTTGTAAAAGACTCCACAGTATGACTCATCTGGATAGCACCACAGGGAACATCCGGCGTTATACTGAGAAGACTCTGTGCTGTAGTTGTCGAATCCTGCCCACTCACCCGTGGCGTTTCGCTGTTGCCGCTGGCTTGTTTCCCAGTCCGCGTAGAGCATGCATTCGTCTTCCGTGACATGTGCTGAGCCTGGCACGCAGTAGTTCAAGCCGGGTGTCTGGACGACCCAGACCACCGTGCTGCCTTTCTGCAGCATTCGAGTGGCCGCCTTCTGTGCCTTCTGACCTCGGAGGCCCGTCCTGGAGACCTTGCTCTCGAGCTGTCGCTCCGCGAGAGTCTTGAGCCCGGTCTTCTTCAGAACCTTGCTCTTCAAGCCACTCTTCACTGGCTTCTGGGATTCAGGCTTGATGGCCTTGGTTCGCCTTGCAGCGGCCTCCGCTCTCTTCTTCGCGGCCAAAGCCTTTACAGCTTCGACCACCTTCTTCGTCTTCATTGCGGTGCCGTGCATGGCCTTCTGCGCCTGGGCGCTGGCGCTGGCGAGCGACTCCGTCACTGCCTTGCCCTTCACCATCTTGGATCCCTTCTTGCCAGCAGGAGACTCAGCGCGCTTTGAAAGGCTGATTTTGCAGGCCTCAGGGTTCGCGAGGATGCACTTTGCCACCTCCCTGTGCTCTCCAAAGAGCGCAGAGAGCTCGTGAGCGATCGTGGAGGCAGCCTCATCTCGCCCTGTGGCCGGGGATCCGGACGCTGCCACAATCTCCTTCAAGGGCTTCTCCATCAGGGATAACTCGGTGCAGACTTTGGCGCAGGTGTCATGATTGAAAAGCTGAACACCTCCCGCTTTGGCCAAACCAGCTGCAAGAGGCGATATCAACGCCTCATGAACGGATTTGCCTGCAGCTGCCCCAAAGAACAGCGCTAGCTGGAGCGCAGCGTGACACACGCGCATCCTGTGGTCGCTACAAGACAAGCACAGGAAGGCAACCGAGGTCTCGAGGTTTGAGCCCGAAATCAACTTGAGCCGTAGCCACACACACAGAGCAAAGCTGGTCGCGGCATGAGAAAATGGCGTCAGTACATCATCGTGTCCACCCTTTCTGATGCAGCTCATGCATTACCACCTCCACGAGAAGCATGCATGCTGGGATGCATACGCACTGCAACCATGGCTTTCTAAGTCCACTCGGCTGCTGTCATTACAAAATACACGTGCCGAATCGCGCTCATTCACTGACAAGATGTATGCTATGAGTTCATAGAACTAAGCCGGGGATACATCTTGCCAGGGAGATCTTTGGGTATCAAGGTCAACTTCACGCGTCACTTCGATGCCTTCAGTGCACAGGTCCGATCCCAATCCGCTGAACCAAAAAAGAAGTCACGAATGCTGGGCTTGGCAGAACTGGCTTGACGCGGCGGCCAGCAATCCTTCAAGAAATGCGGTCTTTTCTTCAGATACATGAGATGTAAGTGCAGCGGACACCCATGATCCCAGAGCTCATGTTGAGATCCTGGATGTCCTAACTGGTCTGAGCCGTGGGTTTCACCCATCTACGGCATTGAACACTACATCGTTCGCTTTGCGAGCCCAGAGCATGTACACCGGCAGATGAGACCCCAGGCATGGTTCTGTGCTCAACTTCCGAAACTCGCTTTCCTCAATAAGTCAGCCGACTTGCACAGCCTTTGTGGTCGCACGTTGGCCGGGTACCTGGGCCCGGGAACCATGATGAACTGAGCTCTGTGAAACATGCTTCCTGATGGCAGCGTAACACATACTGTGTCATGTTCGCAGGTAACTATGTGCCTGTGTTCTGTGCTTGAGATGCCGACATAAAGAAAACCTTGGCGACACGATGCCGAGGGACTCCGAGCGTGCGATCCCTGTGCAGTCGTGATGCAAAAGGTAGTGCCGGGAGCTGACATGGCAGAACACTTTCCCCCCGGTGCCTTGATACTCTTTTGCTGCATGGAGCAGGGCCTCATTGAATCTGAAAAGACGAATCAGCCACGGTGCATGTGCAAGCCATGTCCCAGCTAAAACTAGACTAGCAGACTAGCAGCTAACTAGCAGCACAAATGGCCCAAAAGGTTCTGCTGCATTGCAGTTACTGAGTTATGACTAGCCACCTGAAGGCACGACAACCTCTGAGATCCAGGCGCTGTCAGGAATCGCAAACATCTTCGCTGCGACACGACAACTTCACTGACCCGCTTAGGGCTTGGGGGACTCCACGCCGCCCTGCTCTGCGGGCCTCGCCCAATGTCCGCAACAATCAAGCTCTGCGGGTTCAAGCTGAATTCATCGCCCCAAGCCCCAGGGAAAAAACGTTGCATATCGTTGCATCAAGAATCCAGAGCTTCAACCAAGAAGTCAGCCAGCACAGAGGAGCAGACATAGAGCACACACGATCGAGACTACAGAATCATGTGGGGGATGCTCTGAAATTATGTTAAAACTTTCCTCAAAGGCCAGACGAACGCACAGGTTTATCTAATTAATTGAGTACATTAAAGCTGGCCCGAGCCGACAACAACCGGTTGAAGCTCTCGTCACATCGTCAACGGCTTGCCGGCCCCAACTAGCTTCAACCAGGCAGGGCTGGGCCAAGTGTGCATATCTTGCCGCCTACCAACACTCCGGTTGTGCTCAACGAAGGATGCCAATATGGACCCTAGACCGCTGCGTCCTTCACATTACATGGGGACCCCGACCTCCAACAGACTAGCACTTCCCTTGTTGTAAATTCCCATGAGACCTGGTGTTCGTGGGCCGCTCCTGGGCGTGTTCCTCAACAGGCCCTCACCTTTCTCTGGAAAAGTTCGGGCGAAGGCTCAAGAAATCTGTAAACCCCACAAAACCCTACGCCTTGTATCCTGAAAGCCTAAACCCGATCGTGCCCAAACTTCTCCAGAATCTCGGGCGCTCTTCTCATTTACTATAGCTTGGCGCAGGAAGTGTGCACCAAAGCTTCGGGGCCTCATGGGCCTTGCAGCTTTATAAGGACAGTCCGCTGTACACCCCTGCCATAGATGGATTTCAAAAACGAGCACCTCTAGCGGACCCCTCTGCAAGTGTTCCAAGCGGATCTGAGTTCAGAAACAGCACGGCCATCTGTCGCAGGGATGCATTATCAAGTTTCCGCGGTGCGGCAACGGTCAGTGGACTCAAAAACGAAGGCTTGCCGTATGGGAAAAGCCCTGCCCTTGAACACGCAACAAACCAGCAGACCAAGAAATTGACATCAGCTAGAGTAAGCTCAAACGTTAGGGCTTGAGGCAATCTGAATCCTCGTCCAATCGTGGAAAACTAGGAAGGCTAGGACTAGGAGCACGGGGCCTGCTCTTCCATATTGTCGTGTGGCGAGCATTGACTGGACTTCATCCACTCTAACATGCTTAATTCCAGAGCTGCTAGCACCAGCTGCATCAGCCCTTCCTGCAGGGCGAGGATAATCAGCTCTTGCGCAGGGGCCTTGGAAGTGCAACAGCTATGACTGCGGCGCTGCAGTCGGTTGGTGTTGAATTTGCAGGGAAAGCTGGGCCGGCGACAGTTGGTGGAAAGAAGGCTGGAGATCGCGGCATGCTTGGGTTACAGGATCGGTCGATCTCTGGACGCTTCGGGCCTGGGGATGTCCCAAGCAACACTCTGCCCAACTTCGCGAGTCAAGAGTCAGAGCGACTGGGCTTTCGGCCTGCTGCGAAGCAACTGGTGCACCTGAGCTCGTACTACGCTTCTGCAACTCCGCCTGACGAACCTGCGCCCTTCTTGCTTCTCCCCAAGACGCCTCTGGAGACTCGTGCCGGCATGAAGGCCAGTCTTTTGATGGCCTTCACAATTGCGGAAGCAACGGTCTCATAATTACAGGTCCAGCAAGTGATCTCTTGGCCCACGGTGTTGCGCCCTCAGGGCTTGACCTCAAAGATGATGAAGCCAACCACGAAACAGGCCATGGTGACAAAGATCTGTCCGGGCAGGTGGGGTTGGTTGCGTCGGAAAGAACGCAGCTCCGCATAGCTCGGCTACCTCGCTTAAGGCACCATCGTCCTCGGAGCAGTCGGCCGCCACCTTGTCCTTTGCTCACAGCGAGGGCAAAGCTGCAGAGATGCGTCACTCGGCCCAGGCCCTGACAGTCATCAAAGTGAACCTTAGCAAGCAACCACGGTTACAGAATTGTTGAGGCGTCTGATCTTCTTCTGCTGTGGAACAACCTCTCCCACACGCAACCCCAAAGCCGGCGGTTCTGACAAAGCTTTGCAGCGGCCAAGGCTAAACAATCAATCGCCGTTTCCCGAGACATCTCGACCATAGCGGCAAACTGTGAACATGTGCCGTCCCGAACCCTTTCAAAGCATGCGGCCGCTGCTCAAGACGGCAGCTACGGAACCAAGCTAAGGACCATCTTTCCCCCACCTTGATCCATAAACAGGTCGTCACAACCAAGGTAGCCCTTGTTGGCTGCCGTGTGCATCGCAGAGCAAGTCTACTTTGCAAAGCCCGCCGGATGAAGAGGCCTACTTCTGCACAGTCTTTTTAGCGGCAAGCCATTCTATGCATGCTCTTTCACGTCGTCGTTGATCGCTTGCCTCAGCACAACTTGTTCTTGACCTGCAGCTATTGCCTATCTTCTGCGATCAAGCCGCACAAGCGGGTTCACCGGTGAGCCGTCGGCAGCTTTCCTGAAGCTCATAACGGATTTGGATTTGGGATCGACGCCTACCAGCTCGAGTCATGCGTTCAGAGTAAGATCCGCTCACTTGGCCATTCGCATCCAGTCTCACTGTCGGCGGGTCGTTTGGCACCCTTCAAACAGAGGCGATCACGACCAAGAAACACACCTGCGAGCAGCCTGCCTGCAGGTGCTGCAGAAAGCTCCTAGCTTTTTGATCGGCAATTTCGCTTCTGAGCTCATCTGGCTGCTTGCCCGTCTATCACAAGCTGCGAGCGACGAGTCAGCCTCATCAAGAAGAATATCTGCTTGACAAGTCAGTCCATTCGCTTGCCTGTGTTTCCGTCGGCTTTCTGCATCGATCTTGATGGTGCAGACGCAGTCTACAGAACGTTGTCTGACGCACAATCCATCGCTGAAAATATCCGACCGAGCTTGCTGTTGAATCAGATCCTGCTGGGGAGCACCTTGCGAATACGCTGGTCTGCTGATGCATCACCAGTTCTGTCTCCTCACCCGCCTGCGGAGATTGTTTTTAGCATGGCCAAAGGTCCATTGTGACTGATCGAGCGGCTTGCTGACGTTGCAAAAATCACAGCACTTCTCAGTGCCCTCGACTTGAACGCCCCTCTCTGCGAGGTCGATCAGCACTTGCCGTCCGATCATATTGCTCCCTCGAGAAAGCTCGTCGGCAACTTGTGCATGTAAGCACTTTACATCACTGGAGTTAGCAGAAAATTTCACGTTAGCCAGACCTGCGGACATGATCACATCGACCGTCTGGTTTCCCATGATCCTTCTCGCTTCGAGAAGTTTGCTCTCATGCGCGGACATGAAGCTTTGGCGCAGGCTTCTGTGCGCCTCATGCGTTGCTAGCAACTGCGACAGCCAGTCATCATCGTGCTTCACGCGTTCATTGTACGCCTCAATTGCCACCACCTCGTAGTCATCGATGGAAGACACGAGTAGCGGGCATGTCAGGCGCATCAAGTCCCCAATCTTCCCAGAAGAACGTAGAGGATCCATCACGAGGACCTGTGGCCAGCCATGCCGACAACGATGCCCTGCCCGCATGCTGTTCCTCTCAAGCTCCCAATCGCTGCCTGGCGGGAGCAGTAGCTGTCGCCGTGTCACACATTCAACATCAGCCCGGCTCAGTTCGCTGGGTCCCAAGAGTCGCTCGTACGGTCCGCTACCGACACAGCGCAAAGGAGCCTTGACGCGGCCCTCGCGCACGCTCCTAGAAGCGCAGCAGCGGTGCCGCCCTCGCAGCTCGCATAGCTCGCCTGATGTGAGAAGGAAGGTGGCTCGGCAAGCTCCGCGAAGGAAAAGGCTGCATGCCAGACACGCCAAACCAAGCCCGACATGCAGGCAGCACCGACGCATGGCGAACCCAGCTCAGCGGGCTACAACGCCATGCGGCAGGAGCCAAAAAAAAAAAAAGCTTGCTTGGTGGTGTGTCTCAGATGACTGAGGAGTCTCCTCAACCCGGCTTAGGCAGTCAACAAGATCCCGTCACTCGCACCTCTTCAAGCAAGGCTGACACTTCTTAGGGCACTCCGGACACTGGCACGCCGGACCTCGGGCTTCCAACAATGGTAAGTAATCAGACCCCACTTTGCCCATTGGATCCTGCTCTTCTTCGCTTGGCTTCCGTGGCCAACCAGGCTCTTCAGGACTCAGGGCAGCACAGAATGGACAGTTGTTCTCCATCCGGTTGCAGACCACCCTTGCGCCGATCGCATCAAACGACGAAAAAAACCCTCCATTACTTTTGCAGGCATTCACGAGACGGGCGGTTCGTCAAGCACTACATTGCAAGCAAAGCTCTTCCCTGCGACTGGTGGTGGCGTGCCTGGCACGGAATGTGGTGAAGCCGAGTCATTGCAGGCTTGCTGGTATGTTTGATAGCTCCGGCAGGGCTACTTTTCGCCTCCGGGCAACGACACTAGTTCGAGTTCCGATCTTGTGCTGCTTGATGTCAGGCAAGGCACACGTGGTACGTCTCAACCATGTGCAATGAAGAAACAGAGGCAGACTCAAAAAGTTAAAAACCTCCTGGCCTTCATCACCTTCCGGCTGCCTAAAACCTCGGACAGCACTGCCCGATTGCCCCCCTCAGGCACACGTGACTCTCGCAGCTTGACTGGGCACCAAGACCATGTGGACAGGAGGGGCAGGTGGGGCACGACGGGCACCTCATCTTGGCTCGAACCATTTCTGTGCTGATTTGTTCCTGTGATTCCCACCGCAAGAGTAACGCATCCAATTGTGAACTGCAACAACTAGGGAGTCAGCTCAGCACACTTCTCGCAGTGTATCTCTGGGCAATCTTGTCCTTAGATCTGTTCCCATGCCCTGCATGAGAAAAGTGCTGCTTCAACCGAAACAACACAGCTGGAGATGAAGTCGCGAAGCTGGACGGGATTGCCTCTTTGGGCAAATGCTGTTCCTGCCAGAAACCGCCCCTGTGCTGGTCAGGTGCAACTGAAGTCTTACGCATGGGCCTCCCGGGCGATTGCATCGGGATCAATCGATTTGTGATCTGCCTTGGGCGGCACAACTGCCCCATGGCTCTCGGCTGCGACAAGATTTCGCGCCCCACCTGTTCGGCTTCGGCTGCCATACGGCTCGCTCCATCCTGGTGGTGCTACTATAGATCTCGCACATCATGCCGACCACCTCCTGCATCGGAACCCTCGCAACTCGCGGAGTGCAGCTAAGCCACTCTTGGATCAAGCTCTGCCTGCATGTGGGCGTCGAAGCATGTTTTTACCTGAACGTGATCCAGGTGGCTTCTCAGCTGCGAGACTCACGTTACGACGGTTTCTGAGCTCTTTCCCTACTTCGAGTCAGATCCTCCTGCTGAAACCGACCTTGACTTCTGTGGTTCTGAGGCCTCTGCCACCCGGCCGGGCCCAGGCAGCTGTAGTAGCAAGATCTCCTGGAAACAGGGTTGTCTTCATTATAGCAACACTGCTGACACCGCTGGTCCGACACATGAAAGCAAGATACCGTGTCTTCATCCGTCCTTGGGTGGAAACAAGAACTGGACGGCGTGGGATGCATGCTCGCCGCTTGCATCAAAGAGTGTCGCTACCTGAGCTGGCTGTAGTGGCTGGTGGGACTCGCAACGGCAACTAGGCTTGCTTACACCTTGTTTCGACCACGTGGAATCCAAGGCTCCAGTGGCTGAAGCCAAGCTTTGGGCATCAGGACCTCACTTGGTTCTACCGCCGGAACCTCCAGCATTGCCAGACTCGCTGCAGGCAGGTTTCGGCCTTTTGTCCTGCCTTCCATTCATGCAGGGGCCCCGGTTTCTCTGCCTATCTCTGTGCTGTGTGAGTGTCTCTTCAAGTCCGCTGCTGCCACGTGCCACGTCTTAATCTTGCTCCAGCATCAAACAATAAAGCCAAAAGCCTGATCCGTCATCCACATGAGACTTTGAGCCTCAAATAGCGCCAGCTGGGAGAGCACTCGGCTTCAAGCTTGGTCAGGCGTTCAACGTCACCTGATCCGAGTCGGATGTCGGTCTACTTCCGATTTTCTTCTGCCAAGGTGTGTATCTCGAAGTGAGCCACTCGCTCCTTTAAGTAGTTGTGGCGCGACACGAGACGAGGCAAAAAAGAAGATCCAGGGCAATTTGACTGACCTTCGGCTTGACAAACAACTGCTGGAAATCACTGCATGCAACTGGTGTGAAACGATTCATGCCCGCAGCTTCGCTCTTCGAAACCCCAAAGGCCGAATGGGGCCTGTCAAACTTGGATGGCACTCGCAGAGGGAAACCGCGATTGCACTATCTCGATGCGGCTAACCGCCCAGGCTTGCACAGGTCCCCATGACATGCAGCGGAAAGCAGACGATGCCAAAACCTGAAGGAAAGGCGTGGTGCGACAGAATTCGCACGGGTCGCCTTCTGTCCTGGGCTTGAGACAAGCCCCGGCCCACATGGCACCTGGACTTTGAGAAAAACTCAGGTTTCCCGTGGTATGGAATCGCATGGAGCGCTTCCTCTCGCGCATTTGAAGTCGCTTGCATTTGCAAGAGACTCCTGCAATGCGATTCATGTGGCACAGATTAAAAATCCAGAAAAAAGACGCCTCCATCGGCCCTCAGTCTAACCACGCCTTCATCGGAGCATGAACCTAAGACAGAGCCAGTCGACCAAGCTTGCGATTCAGTTTATGACTGGCTTCGGATCTTGAGGCATCGAGTACGTGAGTACGTAACCTGTCCCAGCAGTGCACAGTCTTCGGCGAACCCCCAATTAAGTGCAGCCAAGGATCCGGAACAACACCCTGCATGCCTGCTGGCTGGTTCTGCACTTCATGCATCCCCAGATGAGTTGTAGCAGCTTCAGAACCGTGTCTTAACGTCTCGGGGATATGCAGTCGCGTAAGTACCACCGCTCGACCAGAAAAGACTTCTCCGCACCTTGGCCATCTTCCGTCGGCTTTGCATCGTGCTGACCTGCATCCGACGACCGAACGGAACACTGCAAAAGCAGAAAGACAACTATTATGTTATATTATATTATATTATGTTATATTATATTATATTATAGTATATTACAACGCGAACGCGACGCTGCAGAACAAGCCGCCTGGGACCTCTCCCGGCAGCATCTCCTCGCTCACCACCTCCGACGTCACGGAATCATGGAGTTGCTTCACGTGATCCTGACTCCTGCTGTTCTACATGTATACGAATGCGGGATATGTATGTATACGTACATGTTTATACTATATTATGCTTTAGTGCACTTTATGGTAATATTTATCTTACACAATAGTATAATGTATTATGTCATATTGTATTTTTACTAGACTATATTGTATTAATGCTATAATGTATTAAAATATATCTGTCTATTATGTACTATGAATTTATTTTGTAAGACATTATGTTTATCATGCTATGTGATAGTAAACTATTATCTGATTTGTCTAGGATGCACGGTAACTAAGCATACCGCAACCTTGAATACTCAGATGGGTGTGACTATTGTACCATGTGCCAAAACCAAGCAGAATGCAAGTTTCATGCAATCAGTGAGGCGATCGAAAATAGCAGACAGTCTACCGAGGCATATGCCCAGGTTTGGACATCGGTGGCTTAGCAGTAGCAAACATATAGGTATCAGACAATTATTTAACTCTATACCTATACAAAAAATTTGTATGTGTATATATATATATATATGTGTGTGTGTAAATGTATGTAAATGTATGTGTACATATATATATATGTGTGTGTATATGTACATGCGGTGTGTATATATACATAGATATTATATATATATATATATATGTAAATACACGCGTGATTTTTTGCAATCAGTTGTGCGCTGTGCGTTCTTGCCGCCCCCTTAGTCTCCCCTGCAATGCTTGGGCATTTTGGTGGCAGAGGGAAGGGGGACTGCAGGCACAACGAGAACCGGTCTTGTTCTGCATAGTTGCTGAGAGGCTCTGAAAAGAGGCTATGTTCAGAAGACAGTACCGCGTAGCAGAGGGGTGGCGTGAGGAAGAGGACACATATCACATTCTGCCAGAACAGCACGTACTCAAGAAGACCCTTGGAGTAACTGAGTAGGGGGGAACTGGGGAACCAACCCGAGTCACAGGGGGGAAAGGGACTAGAGGTCTTTAACAGCAGCAAATCACATAGGCCCCAAAAACCAAATGTGACAGCACATGGATCATTCCCCATCTACCGCACAGCAGGACAGAGCGAAGAACCAGCTCCAGGGAACCAACCCGAACCGCAGGTGGGGGGGGGGTATATGGCAGCAGTTTGTAGCCAACCAGCTCGTATACTAAAGAATACTAAAGGTGGTAGCACATGGACCATTCCCCGATCTACGCACAGGAGAGAGCGGAGAATTCGCTCTACAAAAGGAAGGGGACAAACCCCGACCCACAGGGAGGGCCAGGGGGAAGCGAAATGGCCAGGCATATGGCAGCAGTATAGCACAGTAAATGATGCTTCATATACTGCGTTTGGTTGCATACGGACCATGGGGGATGAGGGGGGACAGACGGCGGCCCACCGGGGTGCCACCACATACATACACGCATTATATACTAAATATAAACATGCACATATATATATATATACATAATTATACAGACACACTAAGTACATAAATACATAGATACATAGTACATAAATAATGATGTAGAGACAGATAAAGATATAAAGAAGATACAGCTGTAGACATGGATGTAGATCAACACGTATATACAGACACACACACACACACTCACACAAACACACACACACACATGTCCGCACGTGCGCGCGCGCGGGCCATGGCTATACATGGCCCATCTCGTCTGGATTGCTGCAATTGCAAGGGCCTCCGACTGCCTGTTCTGCTGGGCACCGAGAAACTCTGGATGGTCATCAGGATCCACTGGTCCAACCAAGGCCTCAGCATCCAAAGCGTTCGTGACTTGTGCGGGTCTTCCACGCGGAAGTAGTGTGAAACTGTGCTACCAGGAACTTCTGGGAATGACACTTCATGCACGTTGGCCATATACTTTTTGACCGTGGCCACTTCGAACATCAACCTGCACGGAGAAGCTGCAGGATTGTTATTGGCCTGCCGCACGATCCCAACATGCATCCCTCTATATCCATATCAGGCACCGAACAGGCAATACATAACTCAAAGTTCGTGGCAACTCACACTGTTGGCTTCTCAAGGTCTAGCGCGAGCTCAGCAGGAAACGGACAAGAGGCACCTGGCCACATCGATGCTTTTTGCACCTCCACTGAACATCTGGATTCCGATGGCAAACTCCTAGCACATGGAGTTTGTTCGGAGCAAGTTTGCTGGCAAGGGTACGGCGAAGTGACACCATCAGCCCGACCTGTCCTCGACCGACACACTTCCGTTGTTCTGAAAATCCAACCTCATTTCCGTGGAACAACGTCAGCAATAAGCACAGCAGCCGCATGCCTTAACCTGTTGCTGAGAGGTGGCATGTGGAAAACGTTTCTGAGTTCGGCTTCTGTGTCGATTGCTATCCTCAGCTACGAGCAGAAAACTGTCAGCATGGCTTGGCGTTCTAGGGATGACCACTCTTGCAAGGCCGAAGAACGCGACCCAGCCTAACCACTCGCAACCAAAGTTCCCAAGCTTCTTGAAGCAAGTCTGGAAATGAAGGTCCGATGCACATGCCTGGAACTCCTGCAACCAGAAGGGATCCAAGCAAAGCTGTATGTCTAGCCATCCATCGCCCAGCAGTGCGATTGCAGTCGTCCTTTTCGTTCGGGTTGTGGCCCCTCGTCCAATCGACGAGTGCGTGAAACGGATGTGCCAAGCTCTTCTCGGCACCTGCTGTGGCCTCGCCGCGCCGCGCCGCAGATCCGCTTTACGGAGCGCTGGCGCTGCTGGCGCTGCTGGCGCCGGAGGATTCCTCGAGTCCTAGGGGCTCGGTTTGCTCTCTGACAGGTTCGGGGCCGACACGGCTCGAGGAAGGCCAGGGGGAGCCTGGCCGGAGCCGAACGTGGCCGCCGCACTGCGCGGCCTTCGGAGGGAGCCCGGGGGCTGGGCCTCCCCGCGCTTGATGAAGATTCCAGGGCGAAGGCGAAGCGGCCGAAGCGCTCCTCTCTGTCTGCACCTGGCCCTGGCTGCTTTGGCTCTTGAGAGACGCATGCTTCTCGTACCAATCATAGACGCCATCCAGGTGCTTGCATCGGGCCTCATGGCTCCTTGCCTGGCCACCCGAATTGTGGGCCAAGTCGAAATCGAGGAAGAGCTTTTTCAGCGAGTGCCCAGCTCGATTCAGAAAATGATCCTTGACGCCTTTCATGTCGAAGAAATGCAGTTGCCTCCGCCTTGCCTCTGAGGATTCCCGCTCTGTTCTCCATGATCGGCGGGCCTCGTGGGCAGCTGCCTCCTGTTTCTGGACCTCGTCCTCCCGTCTTGTCATCCACTGCTCGAGCTGCTCATCGAGGCTCATCGACAGTTGGAGCTGTTGCTGATGCTGCTTCTGCGCTTCCTCCAGCAGCTGGCGCGCCTTCTTGTCGACCCGCCCCCGCAGCACGTGCTCCGGCTGCTCAGAGTGCGTGTGTGAACTTTGCAGCACAGCGGAGGCCGACGCCGGTCTGAAACTGGCCCTTCGCCCTTCGTAGCTCGGCCGCTCGGAGATTGATTCGAAGGTCGTCTGCAGCGCAGCCTTTGTACCAAAGGAATTCACGGACTTCACCGTCTCTTCGGACTGGCGCCGGCCGGGGTAGGGGCCGGGACCGCCCATGAAGCTCGACGCCGAGGTTCTTCGGCTGTCCGCCGCAGCTGAGGTCCGCCTGCTGCTGGCAGCAGCCGAAGTCCTCCGACTGTGTCCGTAGGCTCGGCCCCAGGTACTACTCGCAGAACCCCGCCGGCTTGCAAGCAGCGCAGGTGACAAATCGGACCCCGAGTCCAGCTCCGATTGCATCTGACTGGGCTCGTCATCGCCGAAGCTGTCTTCCATGAGGGAAACCTGTGGCGTTTGCTCCGGTGCCGCCTCAGAGGTCGCCGCAGCTTCCAGATTGTGCACGAAATTCTTCAAGGCTTTCATCTTCGGGTCGCTGTACAGTGCAGCACTCCGCGACGCCTTCGGGGCAGTCTGACAGCATGGGAGTGCGATCCCTTTCGGCCGATTCGCGGTCCCGCTCTTGTCCTTCTTCTTCCGACGTCCTTTGGAGCCTTTGGAAGCCTTGGAAGAGGAGGAGACATTGCTTGATCTCCGGCTCGATTTGCTTCCCACCATCAAGCGAAACCCAGGGAACACCCCCTAAGGACCCATTGCGGCTGCCCTCGGAACCCCTTGGGACGCTTGAGCACAGGTTGCCCGACGCATCTGCAAGTAGAGGCACGCCTACATGATCCTACATTCCATATCACTACACTACACTATTCTCGGGAGCCTCTTCGAGGAATGGACAACATTCCACGAGTTGACGAACCTAGAAGTGACATGAGATGACACCCTTCTCCGGCGCTGTTCTGGCTGTCCTCCCAGTTCACGTTGCCTGAGACGAAGGCTCTTCGCTGCTCCGACAGATGCACCACCATGCGTACCCCACTCTGCATGGTAGTGCGACAAAGATGCCGGAGTTGTCGACGTCGCACTCTGAGAAAAGGCGACTGACGGTGTCCACGTAGTCCTGACCAGCTCTTCCGAAGACTTTCACACTGCCAAGTCCAAGCGACTGCCGTCGACATGCTCTATCAAAGCTTTGGACGCCTTTCGAGCTCTGAGCTCTTCCATCATGCACATCTCCTGCCAGCGAGGCAACTGGCCAACACCCGCTACGTTGGAAGCCTCTACAATCCATCAGAGCCTACCACAGCACTTCGTGCAAGGACAACGAAGTCTTTTTTAAGAGTACACCCTACCGGTCGGCCCCCAAGGAGCACTCCTCGTCAGCGGCTGTCATTCGGCTGGCATTTTCCACAAACACCCCGGTCATGACCTCGGGGCAGCGGCGACGTCTCTGAAATTTAAGCGTCCCTGAAGCCGGGGCCACACACTTCAGGCGGGAAACGTAGGGATCAGAGCAAGTCAACAAGGAGTGAAGTTAGCATTTAAAGTCTTTGTCACTTAGCAGGAAGAACTCAGCATAGAACTGCGACTGTGGCTCCTCTCACTTCACCAGTCTGAGGCGGTAGCATTGAGGACGCAGAAGAGTGCAAAGCACATGTACACCTCACGGTGCACCAGTTGAAGACGTAGACACGGTTTCTCCAATCTAAGCTGTGCTGTTTCTGTAGCTGCCACGGGCCATAGCTGCCGTCCGAGACACAACGAAGAGCAGTGCTAGGAGCAAGCTCACCTCATTGAGCATTCTGGCGACATCCGCCCAGTCCACGCCTCCAGACCTCAGGGTGACTTCAGAGCACAACCGATCATACAAGACCCTGTGCGTTCTGTCTCGGCTGCATGCATCGAAGAGAACAATGTGAAGATTCCGCCGAGCCTCAGCTTTATGAAACTGCCACGGCCAACTTCGAGACTGGGCACATCTGGGAACGTGACAGGGTTCCGAAGTGCAAAAGAAGCTGTTGGGCCAGCTGTTCCTTGGCCTCCATGGAAAGATCCAAGGATGACAGGTACGGTCTCAGCAGCCTCAAGCAGACTCAGGCATGTCACAGCATGTCATAATCCCGAACCAACATCTGCAGAGAACGCTTCCTTGCAGCGAAGTAGCTGCAAGATGCAGGCTGCAACGGCAAACCTGTGATTCCAAGCAGGCTCAACCAAGCTCAAGCTTCATGCTGCATGAGAAGGCCTCTCGACTGTTGGTTGACGAACCATCGACTTGAACAAAAATCCCGTTGAACATCCCCCGTTGGGCTCACATTATAGGGTCCTAGAAAAGCTGACAGAGCTGTCGATGGGCGTCCATGCCCTGCCGGGCATTGAACACAGGATTTGCTGAAACTGCGGCCGAATGTGTTTAACAGGCCTCGGAAAATGCATCTGGGTTGGCGCAAAGCTCCGAAGGCTCAATTTGAGCAGCATATGCGTTGTTGCTGAATCAGGACAACTTAAAGCATGTTCGGGTGTTGAACGGCTGTTTTACCGAAACTGGGCCGAGTGCGTTTAGCAGGGCCTTGGAAAATGCCTTTGGGGTTGCAGTTTTTCATGAAAAATTGTGCAGGCTTATTTCTGACTAAGAAACTTGAACTAATGCTTGTCATTGCCGGAAAATTTTAAAACAAACAAATATACCGGCCGAAATAAACATGAATTCGAAAATTGGAATTTATTCCAGAAACAAGAATTATTTGGGGTATTGTCGTCAAAAAAATACGCCCTTGGCGGGAAGGGTGGAACGCGGCTCCGGGTGCAGGGACGGCATTGAGCTCCAGATTTGTTGAAGGCCGTGGAAAATGCCTTTGGGCTCGGTCGGAGGCTTCGGGAGCTCGATTTGGGTTCTGGGACTGGGATCAGGAACACCAGCAAAGCTGAAACAGCTGTAACTGCGTTTTCCCAGCCTTGAACAATGAAAAAATTGGGGCCCTGGAAACCAAACCTCAACATGTGCAGTACGATTTTCGGGTTTAGGGACGGCATTGAGCTCCAGATTTGTTGAAACGAAAGCGAGATGCGTTTAGCAGGCCGCGGAAAATGCGTTTGGGCTTGGTCGGAGGCTTCGAGAGCTTAAGCCTCGAGAATGGGGCCAGGGGCACAAACAAAGCTGAAACAGCTCTAAACGCGTTTTCCAAGCCGTGAAAATATATATTTTTGGTACCCCCCCCCCATTGACCTACCCTTTTGCC